CTATGGCATGCATGACCAAAGTGGCATGTGGAGCCATGTCACCTGGCAAACATGGCATCACCTGTTCCTCTTCTGGGTTTCTGGCGTGCATGGCAGTGCAGCAGTGCCGGAAACTGGAAGAGCTGGTCTTCCATTTTCCTGCATGAGCATGTGCTCCAGCCAGCTGATTGTCATGTGTGCATGCATGCCAGAAACCCGGAAGACTAGCTAGCCAGTGCGCATATGTGTGCCAAAAACCGGAAGTTCATTTTCAGGCATGTGCACGCACCCTGGGCAGCTCCTCTTCCAGGTTGCAGCCCAGACGAGCAGTGCTGAAAGGTTCGCCATCACTGGTCTATTTTGTTATTCAGTAGCCTGAAGTTCAAAACACTGGATATTTTAAAATTCAGGAACATAGATTCCAGTTAAAGGAGTCTCTGTGGCTTTTGGTTCGCTAGTCATTGCCAACTATAGGGGTGGATGATGCTCATTTCTTTTTCAAGGCTATTTTGCCAAAACTCTCTGAAGATATTTTCATGTTCATATGGCCAGCATGACACCATTTGAGGACTTCTATTACCTTCCCACCATTTGAGGTGTCATCAAAAGCTAGATAAAATTAATTCTAAAGTTAATGTTAATATTAATTAGCCATTAAAAGCCTGGCCAAAACATTCATACCTCCTAAATGCTAAGGCAGTATGTTGTCATTCTTATTACAGTCTGGGGACAATCTAGAAGATTCTTCACTTGCCAAAAAGGTAATGCCCCAAATAGAGAATTTTAACAGAATAATGAATTGGAAGGGACCTTGGAGGTTTCTAGTCCAACCCCCCCTTGAGTAGGGGGGCCCTCAAGCAGGAGGCCCTATACTATACTATGTCAGATGGCTATCTAGTCTCTTCTGAGAAGACTTTAGTGTTGGAGCACCCACAACTTCTGAAGGCAAACTGTTCCACTGATTGTTCTTACCGTCAGGAAATTTCTCTTCAGTTCCAGATTGCTTCTTTCTATTTACAGTGCAGAATCTATTGCTTCTTGTTTTGCTTTCTGATGCTTTGGAAAATAGGTTGACTGCTTCTTTGTGGCAGCCCCACAAAAATTGGAACATTGCATTCATGTCACCTCTAGTCCTTCTTTTCAGTAGACTAGGCAAACCCAAATCCTGCAACCATTCTACATTTTAGCCTCCACTGCCCCCCCCCCAAATAATCTTTGTCACTCTTCTCTGCACTCTTTCCAAAGTCTCAGCATCTTTTTTTATATTATGTATCCCTTTTAAACTACCATGGCAATCTATAGCCTTTATCTATTAAAAGAATTTTATTTGACCACTACTTACGTTATCTTTCCTTTACCTTGCTTTCCTATCAACTATTTAAAAGTAAGACTTTACTTTTCTATGTAAGGATAAACCAAACAGAATTATGCTACAAATAAACAAGATTTTCTTTCTTTTTAAGAACATCATTTTCTGATGCTAGACCTGTACTTCTACCTAGACGGATTACACATCAATATTTCAATTGAGTAAGTTCACATTGAAATTTATTGTGGTGATTTGTTTTTCTGTATCTATAGTGAATACTTTTGTGATATCTACTTTTTAATACATCCTTTGCACAGCACCATGCTTAAAAGAAATGTTTTATCTCTTTTAGTTTCAGGGAAAGAATGAAATAAAAGTACACAGGGTGTTTAGGTTATCTAGCTGAAAGAATCTGCCCACCAAAAGCATTGTAAAAATGCTTGGGGATTGAAAGCCAGCACTCAAACTCATGTTTTAATCCTGAACATAGGAAAGAGATGTAATTAGATAAGTACACAATAAGACTTAAGAGTCATCTCTAAATATATAGTCAGAAATGCCACATGCTCCATAAGAATGAAAATATCACATGAAGTACTAGTATCCTTTACACTGCACTGGTAAGACCACACACAGAATTCTGCACCAGTTGTAGCCGCCACGATAAAAAAAAAAAAAAGCTCTAGAAAGGCTCTAGAAAGGCTCTAGAAAGAGTGGACAGAAGAGCAACAAAGATAATAAGGGGTCTGGAGGCTAAACTGGATGATGATGATAAACTGTACTTCAGATATCAACACATTAGGGTCCAGAGATATTTCACTAGAAGAGTACTCAAATCCTCTCTTTGAAATAAAAATATCACCAGGCTTGAAATTTTAGGCCTCAATAGCCTCCAACTACGACATCTACGTTCCAACCTAAGCTTAGTTCATAAGATTATTTAACAAAACGTCCTACCTGTAAAGGAGTACTTTAATTTCAATCAGAATAACACAAGGGCTATCAATAGATTCAAACTCAATATAATTCACTCTAATTTTGATTGTATGAAACATGACTTCAACAATAGAGTAGTAAAAGTCTGGAACACTCTACCTGATCCTGTTGTTAGTCTCTCTAATTCCCATACCTTGTACCTTAAACTGTCTACCGTGGACCTTTCATGTTTTTAAGAGGTCCCTAAGGGGGCATACATAAGCACACCAGCGTGCCTACCGTCCCTACTGTCCCCATTTATATGCAATCATTTTATGTGTTTATGGCTATGTTTTGCTTATTTGTTTCCTTTTATTTGTGCCAATTTTTTTTCATGTGTCCATGTCTATGTCTATACTGTTACTTGTTTCCTTGTACTTGTTGACAAATTAATTAATTAATTAATTAATTAATTAATTAATTAATTAATTAATGGAGCTAAGTATGTCTAGCCTATAGGCAACAAGGACTAGAGGTGACATGATAGCTATCTTCCAGTGCTTGAGGGGCTGTCATAGGCAAGAGGGGATCAACCTATTCCCCAAAGCATCTGAAGGCAGGACAAGAAGTAAATGAAAATGGATGGAAGCTTATCAAAGAGGGATCCAACCTAAAATTAAGGAGAAATTTCCTGTCAGTGAGAACAATTAATCAGTGGAAAGGTTTGCTTCCAAAAGTTGTGGATGCTCTCTCACTGGAGCTTTTTAAAAAGCTATTGGACACTATGTATCTGACATGGTATAAGTATCCTGCTTGAGCAAGGAGTTGGACTAGAAGATCTTCAAGGTCCCTTCCAACTCTTAATAACTCTACTATTCTGTATATACAGATTTCCATGGTAGTCACTAGTGCTGAAAGACTTCAATTTAAACCTTAATGATGCTGACTCTCTTTCTGAGATTGTGGGAAGTCACACTAGGTACAACATAGATCCCGTTTTAAAAGTGTCAAACTATCTATTTTATTATTTGTAATTTCTAACTCATTTCTGACAAAATCTAATACACCCATGATTAATTAGGGCTACCAGATCTGCACTGTAAAAGTTTAAATGATAGCCAAGAGATAGCCAATGCTATCTAGTAGTTGTTTAGATTTGTGCCTTGATATCATAATTGAATTATGAAGGTATTGAGATTTAAGAGTGGAACATCTGTAAAGCTGATGCAATGTAAGGTTGATGCAATGAAGATGAATCAGCATTGGTATTGCCAGTTGTAGATTACGAAGGGGTCCACAAAAGATTTATCTCTTTAAGAGGTGTTTATTTAAGGCAGCCAGGAGAGTATTCTCTCTCCTTGTGTCCGGTATCCGTTGCTGAGTTCTCCATGTAGAGTTAAGAAGAAGTTTGATCGCTTGTCAGGTATTTGCATACCACGTATATTTCTATATATATCTTGTATATAAACCATTGTTAAATGTCTATGTCTCTGTGTGCTGTGATTTGCTCCTGGGTTGTCTCCTAATAGTAGTCACTCTGCAAACGCTCTGACATGAATCATTTATTCATTTTTCTTATTTCACATGACACAATAAAATATTAGCCAAACATTGGGTTGGGCACAATGTGAATAACTATGGCAAAAACAATGGGGTTGGTCAGATCTATGTATTCAATGAACAGGGCTAGAAATTGGCTATGGGTCCCTAGCCAGGATATTTTTTAGCTCGACTTGGGAATTGTAGAAATTAAGCACCCTTCATCAATTCATCTGTAATGATAAAAGCTTGTTACATGATTTTCTGTTTTTGTTTTTGTTTGCAATACAGGTGGTCCTCAACTTATAACCACAATTGAGGCCAAAGTTTATGTTGCTAAGTGAAACAATCATTAAGTGAGTTTTTCCCTTTTCTTTACAGGTTTTCTTGCAACTGTCATAACTATCAGTTATTTGCCAAGCATCTGAATTTCGTCATGTGGCCATGGGGATGCTGAAACAGTCATAAGTGTAAAGAATGGTCATAAGTAACTTTTTTTAGTTTGTGACTTTGTCCTTGTGGCTTCAAATGGTCACTAAATGAACTGTTGTATGTCGACGACTACCTGTAATATAGTGGAAAACATTGATGAAAGGACAATATATTTAATGATCCATATAATTTTATTTCTTATTTCTTTTATTTCTTAAAAGGTGGCAGTAGCCACCTTTTGTCAGGATTCGTTCTGTGTCGTTTCTGGGATTTGTATAATATATTTTCTCCCTTTTTAAAATGTTTTCATTTTTGCTGTCTTTTGGAAACTTTCACTAATATCCAGTTTTTAGATTAGTATCATCCGATCGACTTCTTTGTTTGGGCTGTGAGTTTATATTATTCAAAACGGAAGTCTCACCTAGAAAGCAGATATGAAAATAGGCAGCCATGTTATGCTTTTTGTATCATGGTCAACCCCTAAAGTCCACTAAGCTTGTGCAGCCAGACAATGACAGCATAATTTCCTGACAATTTTCAACAGGAAATAAAAGGAAATACCATGTTAAGCTCTTGTAGACTTAACACACCACACTAAACAAAAATAAGATGAATATGAGCTGACAATGTTGGACAAGCATGACATTGTTATAATATCACAGCTTCATGGACTATGACCCTTTCAGTAAAATAAAAAGTATATCTATTATGACCATCATCACCCCTTCCAAGCTGTCTCTGTTATAGAACATGTAAAGAAATAGACTTGTTGAGGACTCATCAGAACTTAGCACAAGAATTTGCTTGGAATAAAGATCACCATATGAACATGATTAGAAATATCTTTTATTACCATTAATAGACTTAATACTTGATAATAAGAAAAAAAAGAGTTTTAGAGATGAAGGACAAATTAGAACCTATAGAGAATAAGCCAGTGCAAAAGAAACCACCTATAACATATTTTCAGTGCACTACAACATCCTTTCAGTTTATAAATCATACAGTGGAAATCATTTCTTGCAAAAGTTGTATAAAAATTTACAACCAAACCAATGGAATGCTGACATATAGCTTCTTGCATTGAGTAATTGTATATCTATATCATCTATCTTCCATTGTCAGAGCTTTAGCTTGCAAAATATAAAAATAATTGTATTCACTCTGATTAAAAGCACTTGTCAATATCCTAAAAGCCATAATATCCTTGTAGTCCTTGACTTACGACCAGAATTGAGCCCAAAGTTTCTGTTGCTAAGTGAAAAAATGTGCCCCATTTTACAACCTTCATTGCCACATTTGTTAAGTGAATCACTGCAATTGTTAAGCTATTAACATGGATGTTAAACGAATCTGACTTCCCCATTAACTTTGCTTGTCAGAAGACTGCAAAAGGGGATCAAATGACCCTGGAACACTGCAACCCTCATAACTATGACTCAGTTGCCAAACATCTGAATGTTGGTCATATGACCATGTGGATGCTACAATGGTCATAAGTGTGAAAAATGGTCATAAATCACTTTTTTCACTAAATGAATTGCTAAATCGAGGACTAACTGTAATTTCCTAAATTATTCTGATGATCAATTGGCTAAATCCAGCAAAGAACCCCAAAAAACCCAATAATAACCAAGAAAGTCCTCAGCAGCATCTGGCTGACTTTGACTATGATTAGAAGCTATACAGGATTGAGCCAGGTTAGTATTTGGATCAGAGACCTTAAAGTACAACCAGCATCGTAAGCTAAAAAGGGAAGCTGAAAAGTAACCTGGAACAAACAATAACAAGCAACTTTTATTCTATTGTCAAGAAAGCTTCTTGGACAGGTCCATGAAATCACCAAGAAGTTAAGTTTGTGTTTGAAAAATAAATTTATAGTCGTCCTTGATCAGATGTGAATGATCTAATCATATCTATTTGATATAGGTCATGAATCCGATTCAGGGGGAAAATATGTGGGTTTGTGAATACTCAAGCATGCCTTGAACCACTGAATTGGTTCAAAAGCATCCAATTCAATTTCGCATGTCAAATTGATTCTAAAATTAGAATTGATAATTTGATTTAAAGGGATAATTCAATCAGATTCTCTTTGCACTGGTTTTTCAAATTATATATATATATATATTACAGGGTTTTTAAAGTGAGCTTCTCTTTCAGCACTGTTTCCCAACCAAAACTGTTAATTCCTTTTACACAGCACAACTCATATGCCCATAGAGCAAAAGGCAAATTAAAAATCCGGAAGAGAAGCCAGTTCTAAAGTTTATTTGTCGCATGTCCTATTAATGTGTTTGGGAATAAGTCTCACTATACTCAGAGGGATAAATCTGTGAATAAACCTCTACGAGACTCTGCTGTTAATAAATTGTATACCAGGAACAATGATGAACTGATGCTATGCAGGGATGTTACAAGAACAAATAAATTGAGAATTGCAAAGCATTCTGCAAATGAGAACTACGGATAAACATTTTCATCACATGCCCAGGGGGAATGGGATTACAGGGAGAAAAATGTTTCACGTTGTAGTATGGCACTTGATCCCACTCAAGGAAGCCTTTCTGTTCTTCTCTGACTCCTGTAGGGAAAACTAGTGTAGTTTGTGAATGAGGTTCTGATCCTTGGAATGTTTCTCTTTCATTGAAGCAAGATACTTAGCAACTCTTAAATTCCCTTTGATGTAAAAGCTTTATTTTTTTTCTTGTAAAAGAAAAAGTTGGTGATACTTAACACCATTTCCTAGTAAACAACTTATGGGAAGCATGTAGATGCAGAAGCCAAAGGTTACCTGAAGCAGAGAAAATCCATGCTTAGATGGAATATCACGTCTTTACAAGTACACTCGGCACTCATCTTTTCCAGCGACCATGAAAATAATCAGTGTAATGGTCTATGAGACATACAGCCCATCTAGAAGCATGGTTTTATCGATAAAAAGTGATGAAGTGCAACATCATGCCAGGATATCAAAGATTTGATATATGATGGAAGGGATCAAATATGGGCTAATGAATTAAAAAAGAATACCTTAAATCAGGACCTAAAGTTCCATATTGAGGACTTGTCCCAAAACAACTGAACCCCACAAATCTCCTTCTAAGTTTAAGATACCATGACAAGACTGATAGAAAAGTCAGAATCCAACACTTTAGTAGAAAAGAGGATTTAGGTCAGGGTGTCAAACTTGTAGGCCACGGGCAGATGCATCATGCGCTGGCTATGCCCAGCTCCACTTTAGTGAAGGGGGGAAAATTAATAATGTGTCATGTGACGACAATGTGATGACACGAGTTTGACACTCCTGATCTAGCTGTATGTGATGATATGTCGATATATTGTGTGTAAGAGTTTCTTAATTCTGCAGTTCACTATCCTGTTTGTTATTGTTTGCTACTATTCTTCTTGCCACCTTTTTCATATTGGCAAATCTTTTGGAATCAAGATGGTAAAAAACAGCTTTGGGTAGCTATTTGATTACAGGTTTAGATTTTTAGATTAGTAATCTCTGCTTAAATTAGTCAGGAAAATTGTGTTGATCAGCAGTGTAACCAAGTTTATAATAACAATAAACCAAGTTTATTGAAGCTTTGAATGAGTAAACATTTGCAATTATTGTACCACATATTGCTGTCTTCTGGGATTATTGTCACCATGGAGGACAGAAGTCCTGAAAGGGAAGAAAAAGGAAGAAATACATTTTCTCCCTCGTAATATTATACTAAAACTGAAGCAAGATCAAAATGCTGTGATACTGTGTTGGAATTGAAGCCATTTGAGTTTGCTGTATTGCTACTGGTATTTCCATGGTTTGCTAAAGGAAAAAGCAGTTGTGATTGTCATTGCATTGAAAATGTTTGGTTCAACAGTAATTTTCTTACCTAAATCTGGTTAATTATAGTTGCATAATTATATTGCAACGTAAGTGAGGTGTGCATTCAGCTACACAGTTGAATTTAGACCTAAAGTCTAGGGGTAGGGAACCTGATAGTTTTTATATGTTTCAGGTGTCAGCTTCCATTAGTGACAGTCATCTTGGGCAAATGGAAAGATTGTGGAAGCTGTCAAATGAAGCTTTTTTTTTTTTGGCAGGCATTTGGAAAGGCTGGTTATGTTGGAACAATGGATCACGTTCCCCTTCTTCTACTTATCTTTCTGGATTGAAGCAAAAGTTTGTAAAGAGATTATACCTGGTTTCAGTGCTCACCATACTCTGAGGCCTCATTCTTACCACATTCAGTCAAAGCCTATTTTCAGATATTTCTGATCAGTGTGGGTGTATAAGTAGAATGGGCTAGTATGCACATTCCTGGAAAGTACACAATTCCATTTGCCAGAAGGCCAAAGAATATTTAGCCTTTGAAGCGTCTTCTTAAGTGAGTTGCATATTCCAATATGTAACAATACCACGGCTCATAGCTAGCACCAGCTTGATTTTTTTAAAAGAGTATATAATTTACTATTGGACTGGGGCCATTATATCAACATTAATCATCCTCTGGCTTTAATTGCTTTAAGCCTATTTTACATTTCCTGATGCTTCAAAAGGTGGAAGTGCTTTCATAACAGTTATTGATATAAATAGAAATGGGCCTGGAAGAATGGTATATTTGTAATGGGTCACTGAGCCAGCCTAATATGCCTTATTGCTAGATATGCTACATTAACTATCTCCATGTTTGCCTTGATCTTTGACAGTACAAGCATTCCAAAAAGGCTGAAACTTTTAATTAGAGACCTGTGCAGCTTTGCCTCTTACTAGTGTAATCATTAAATTGATTTTTCCAGTCCATCATGTAATTGTTCCAGCGAAGGAATCCTGCTTTCCACTCTCGTTCTGCTTCATCAATATTTTCTGTAAAACATGAAATGGGTGGCATTAATCTAAATTTAAATCTCTTTGTACATTAATTGAAAAATAATCCTGATTACCAATGCTGTTTTCCCCTAAATACACCACACACCATTTTGCCCTCCTTCTTGTCACCTGATTTATTGCAAATCCAAAGGGCAAAGTTTTAACTCTGGATTATAACATAATCAGTTAAAATGAAGAATTATTCTTCTGGCCCAATATGCCACATCATTTGCATTTTCAACTTTCACACCCACAAATGACATTTAACAAGGAGCTTACAATTTACTGTTTGATGGCTGGGGTCCAGATGCAGACTTCCAGTTAAGGGATGCAATAAATTTTCATAAATTTATTTTCTTGACATAATCAATTATCCATATTACCAATTGAGGAAGAGTACTTAAAATATAGCAACATGATTTTGGGTATTATAATAGATCAGCAAAATAAGAAAGATTTATATAGCCAGCTGTTCAGAATTAGGCAGGAGACACTAAGAAATGGCTAGAGCTCCACACATACTGCTTTTCTTTTTAATTTTTAATCTACTAAATTGATAGATATGTTAATAACAAGGAAGGAGGAAATTATCCAATGATTTTTCAAGGTAAGTAGCTGTATTCAGAAATCTCTGTAACATCATCACACAAGGGACATGATTATTTAATTGTATGACATAAGGACATGACAGGTCCTTTGTGAAATGGCTTTATATTTTACAGGTCTTCATTTGTTCTCACCTTATGCTTCCTATGGACATACCATATCCTTATGTACTGGACATGAATTATTTCAACTCTTCCCCTTAGCTGCCACTATAGGGCATTGTATGCCAAAACATTAGACACAGAGGCGGTTGGTTTTTTCTCCTCATGCCATCACTCTGCTGAACGCCTAATTACCACAGTACTGTTTTATGTCTAAAGATATTTACCCATATAGTATGGCTGTATTACTATTATCCTTCTCATCTTTTCTACTACCTTTTCCTAATGATATGTTATGATTATATTAATTTGTTGTTTGTATGTACACTGAGAGCTTATGCACCGGAGACAAATTCCTTGTGTGTCCCCAATCACACTTGGCCAATAAACTATCCTATCCTATCCTATCCTATCCTATCCTATCCTACCCTACCCTACCCTACCCTACCCTACCCTACCCTACCCTACCCTTCCCTTCCCTTCCCTACCCTACCCTACCCTACCCTACCCTACTCTACTCTGTTGTACTCTACTCTACTCTGAAAGCAAAATATCTCCTTAACATTAATAATAGCATCATTGTTGAAAAAAAAAAGTCAAGTTGAAGGACTGGTGTCATGTGGTTTTTCTTGGAATTTATTGAAAGAATAAATTCTTCCAATTTATTCAGGTCATTCACACATACCTTGGGCAACGTGATAATTAAATAATGCAAGGACAAATCTCCAATTTTAATGGAACTATAACTAGGGATATTTTATATAAATTACAAATATAAGCTATTTGAAACAAATAGTACTATGGTGTTATCATGCTCTTGACAGAACAAATGGCCTAAACATGAGATGTCAGTTTCCACTGAGATTTCTTTTAAAGAAATAAAATAGGAGGAACGAGAATTCTACCGAATCCACCATGTACATGACTACCACTCTTCAAGGTGCCCTTGAATTATTTTTAGTATTCTATCTCAGTCATTGGTTCATACAATTTTATTAAACTATATTGCTTTGCGAAGCAGCTTTAAAGGGATTTGAAGCTTTACACAGTGCTTGTACAAATGTGATTTTAGAAATAATGGGTCAAATTTAGATCTAATTATACTAAAGGTAGACCAAATAAAATCACTGGAACTTAAGAAACCTTAACTAACATGGATCCCCATTCTTTTCAGCATGTCTGATTATAGCTAAATCCATTCCATTATCTTATTCTCTTTTGTGATGCTGCTATTTTTATATTACTGTTCTAATCTCTACATGAGCATAGTTGCTTGCTTTGCTTTTTTTTCATACTACTATATCATAGTTCTGAAGCCTTAAAGCTTTATCATAACAGCAGTAATTTCTATATAAAACACAGCCCATTCTTTCAGCCTATCTATTTCTCTTGCTATTCCCTGTATTTGGGAATCTTAAGTGATGTTGTGGAATTCTAAGTTTCAGCTTGAATTCAGATAACATCATTAGTCTACAGAAAAAAAGTCTGCCCTCTAACACAGTTATATTTTTACAATTTTATGTTATGAAAAAAGTACCCATAGCAATTAAGGCATACAATGGTCTGCATATGGGATCTGGTATGGGTTCAGGTTACTTGAAGGATTGTCTCACCCTACTTGGATTGATCTGTACCGGGGTGAAATGATCGCCCAATCTGGTAGCAATGGTGGCAGGTGGTTTGGAGAACCGGTAGCAAAAATCCCTGACCCCCCCCTCCACCCATGCCCAGCTGAGCCGCATGATTTTTTGAGGGTTTTTTTTTTTTTTTTTACTTTTAAAAGCATTTTTTCTATGACCTCTTCGGCCGAAAAAATGCTTTTAAAAGTAAAACAAAAAGGCCTCTGATGATCGTGAGGCTCAGCTGCGATTGTCAGAGCTTTTTAAAAGCATTTTTAAACAACCTCTTCAGCCGATCCCAGCTGAGTTGCCTGATCGTCAGAGCCTTTTAAAAGCATTTTTTAAACAACCTCTCCAGCCGATCCCAGCTGAGTTGCCTGATTGTCAGAGCCTTTTAAAAGCATTTTTTTAACAACCTCTTCTGCCGAGGAGGTTGTAGAAAAAATGGTTTTAAAAGTTAAAAAAAAAAGAGTTGGCCACGCCCACCCAGTCACATTATCCCCCACCAAGCCACACCCACAGAACCGGTAGTAACAAATTTTACATTTCACCACTGATGTGTACCACTTGTGCTGGCAGAGGAAGTGTGTTGGGAGTCCAGTCAGCTGCCAGAATCCAGGAGGAGGGCTTTCTCTCTTCCCTTTGAAACATCTTGTCCCCCCAATGTGAAGTTAGCCCCAACCCTCCTATCTTTTTGTAAGGGCCTAAAGATGTGGCTTTGTCAGCTTGGGGACCCAGTGAGGGAAAGTGCAATGGAGGTGATTGATTGAGTAACAACAGATCACACATTCCCCCCCACTCCACCCCCACCCTCCCCATGTATCCTTGGCTTTAATCTCTGATTTTAACTTTTTATGTTTTAATTGCATATGTAACTGTAAGCTGCCCAGAGTTACGCTATGGTAAGATGGGCAGCCAATAAATTTTATAAACAAACAAACAAACAAATAAACAAAAAATGGGATTTTGATTCGAGTGATCACCTCTATGACTTTAGGTTTCTAGGAAATTAACCATCTTTCATTTTTCAATGTAAAGCTGTGGTAGGAAATGTTCAGCCATCCAGAAATTGTTGACCAAACATTCTTTACATTAATTACTGAGGATTTCTTAATCTTAGTGACTTTAAGATGTTTGGACTCCAACTCCTAGAATGTTAGATCTGGCGCACACTGATTGAGAAATTCTGGACGTTTATTATTTATTAGTCCAATTTATATGCCGCCCTTCTCCGTAGACTCAGGGCGGCTTACAATGCATTATAGCAATAGCCTGCATACTTTTTTGTATATACCTGCTTATTAGGGCTTTCGCCCCCCCCCCAAGCGGTGTTGTTCTATACAAAGTTGGCTTATTGCCCCCACAATCCGGGTCCTCAATTTACCTACCTCAAAAGGATGGAAGGCTGAGTCAACCTTGAGCCTAGTGAGATTCGAACTTGCACTAATTGCAGGCAGCTGGCAGCTAAGTGCTAGCACTTAACAGCACTTTAGTCTGCTGCATCACCGAGGCTCTTACAAGTTGGTCTCCATACATTTTGAAGTCACTGAGTTTCAGCAACATTGAGTTGCTATATGCTAGTGCAGTGATGGCTAACCTTTTCTGGACTGAGTGCCCAAAGCACGTGCCCACGAGCTCCCAAAATGCAATGCGTGCATGGCCCATGAACATGCACCCCCTGCCCCCTGTGCATGCCTGGGCGGCCCCACGCACAACCTACATCCCCTGTGTATGCACAGCAGAGACCCAAAGACCAGCTGGCCAGTGGGAGGTGCGTGCGCATGTGCAGCAGAACTGAACTGGGGTGATGGCTCATGTGCCATTAGAGAGGATGCTGCGTGCCACCTCTGACACGTGTGCCATAGGTTTGCCACCACAGTGCTAGTGGAAGCACTATCCAGACCATATCATTAAAATATATTTCTCATTGCATGCAAAATAATTCAAGTGTAAAAATAGGATTGGTTGAGGGGGGTAGAGGTGGGGGAACCTAACTAAAATTAATGGAGATTTATTTTTAGTGAATATTATCTTTTTAGAATAAACTCTGTATTTGATTTTATAAAAATAATTATTTACCCACAAAGTCTTAAAATTGAAATTAAAATGTAGTAGTAGCAAAATGAACTTGAATTAACCAATTTACTAAATACAAATATATTTAGCAGCAAAATTACCTGTCATCTCCAGGACCTTAGGAAAGAGGATGTTCCAGAATCGGCACGTCTGAGCCCGCAATTTTGTTTGAATCGTTGCAGCATTTGTGCTTAATGCTAAGTAGTTTTGTTCAGTGGTTGTGAAGACTGGCCATCTTGTCCCATTAATCTGATTTCCATTGGGTGTTCTATAAGATTAAAGAGAAGCATTAGAATCCTCATGGGAAATTAGCTGGGCATATCAGCCATTAAAAAAACCCTGTTGATCATTCCAAACCTCAGAAAGTTTGCATGGGAATAATTCTATACTTCTATATGTATATTATGGTATCAGATGTAAATATCAAAATTCCCTGTGTCCTGGTGGCACAATGGTTAGAATGCAGTATTGCAGGTTAACTCTGCCCACAGTCTGAAGTTCAATCCTGACAGAGCTCAAGGTTGATTTAGTCTTCCATCCATCTGAGATCGGAAAAATGAGGTCCCAGATTATTAGCAGCAATATGCTGACATTGTAAAGCACTATGGAGAGGTATATAAGTCTAAGTACTATTGCTAACACTAATAGTAATAACAATATACATTTGGAATGAATTGGATTCCTCTTAAGATGCATTATATGTCATTAAGTAATCAAGTTATCATTAAGTAATCAAGTTATGAAAATCGGCCCAAATTGTCAGGGCTAAAAAAACAATGATTAGTGGTTAGTGGACTAAGAAGAAAAGCCCACCCCCACCAGAGGTTGGTTTCAGCAGGTTCTGACCAGTTCTGGAGAACCGGTAGCAGAAATTTTGAGTAGTTCAGAGAACTGGTAGTAAAAATTCTGACTGGCCCCACCCCCATCTATTCTCTGCCTCCCAAGTCCCAGCTGATCGGGAGGAAATGAGGATTTTGCAGTAACCTTCCCCTGGAGTGGGGTGGGAATGGAGATTTTACAGTATCTTTCCCCTGCCATGCCCACCAAGCCATGCCCATCAAGCCATGCCACACCCACCAAGCCACACCCATAGAACCGGTAGTGAAAAATTTTGAAACCCACCACTGACTCCCGCCATATTGTATTCTGATTTCTAAGTTATTTAATTTTAGCTAATTGTAACATTATGTTTGTATTTTGCTTTTACAACACTGATAAGCCATCCAGAGTAGCCAGATAGTAAGAGGAAAGGTATATAAATTTAATAAATAAATAATAGCAACAACAATACAATGCATGCCTGAATTGCATACCGCAGGATCAAACCTGGATATCTCCAGTTAAGAAAGAATTAGTAGAATGCGTATGAACAGTGACTGAGATATAAAAGAGATGCTTCTAGTTTTGTTGTGCATAAATAAAACAAATGAGGAAAATGAGGCATTCCATTTTAAAACTTGTCATCCATTTTTCAGGAAGAAACTTTTTAGAAAGCAGGTGCATAATCAAATCACAAAATAAAGGCTTAAAAACAACAACAAAAGCTTCCCTGAAAGTGGTTTGCAGAACTTTATGAATGCTATCTAATAACATTCAGAGAGGGCAATGTAATAAAAAGGCTTGAATGTGCAGAACTGAACTTAGTAATTTGGTATTCTTCTCCATGGTATGGAGCCAGGAAAGCTGGCAAAGAAAAGATACCTCTTTCTGAGGACAGGAAGGGTTTAAGATTGTTTACCTACCTAAAAGGAAAAGATCAAGATTGGCCATTTGAAGAAAATTTGGAGAATTGTAAATGTTTACTTCAAAGGTTTTTCTCCCCCTCATCTAGAATGACAGAGTTGTTAATGAATGCTACATTTACCTACTGGAAGACCTTGATAAAAAGGGATTGGATTTGAAATCCATGTTCAGCTGAAGAAAAGAAGCCCTTTCATGAGGTAAATTGTTTGATTTATGCAAGGGCTGGATTGTCATATTTTAAAAGAACAAAGATGCTGTAACTAAATGGTGTGGCACTGGTAAATACCCAGTGATGTTGTTTATTTTACAAAATATAGCTGTTGTTTTTGTTACACCTACAGGCAGGACACCTGTAACAGCTCTTCACAGCAAGTATTCAGATATAACAGTGGAAAGTAACTATCTAATTTTACATGTGGTTTCATTTAACATTTTTGCTGAATTTCAAATGTAGGATGAGGATGGAATGGAGAAAACGCAAAACATGTCTCCTATAAATTTTATCTTCTCCAGAGCTTATTCTCACCACTGTTCCATGTTTGGATAAACTTCCCCTATGAAAATCTTTCCTATCATCTGTGGAGCTATATAGTTGATGAGGCCTCCATTATGTCCTGCAAAAATGGCACGGTATAATTTTGAAGGGAGCTGTGAAAAGAGCTACTGGAAGCATCACAAAGGGTTTCTTTCCAATGCACCCTTGGAAGCCTCTGAAAAGCTTTTATGACTGCTGGAGAAGGCTAAGAGGAGGCTGTCAAGTGATGTGAACGACCTTGAAACCTTCAGAGCACAAAATGCCTCCTAGTCAAAGCCTCCTCTCACAGCCTACTGAATATCATATTTTATTTTACTTGGCTGAGACTGTACAAGAAACAAACAAAAAGGCTATAATATGCAGCTAGTGGTTTGTTGTATGGGCAATTTATGCATTGGAATCTTCCTGTGTAGTGAACATAAGCAGGGTATACTTTGCTAATCACAGAATTTTTTTAAAAATGCATCATATGATTAAACCATGCTCAAGCTAAGAGTGTGGGACATGGTGGCTCAGTGGCTAAGACCTCGAGCTTGTCGATCGAAAGGTCGGCAGTTCAGCTGCTCAAATCCCTAGTGTTGCATAACGGGCTGAGCTCCCGTTACTTGCCCCAGTTTCTGCCAACCTAGCAGTTCAAAAGCACGTAAAAAATTCAAGTAGAAAAACAGGGACCACCTTTGGTGGGAAGGTAACTGCATTCCGTGTGCCTTTGGCATTTAGTCATGCTGGCCACATGACCACGAGACATCTTCGGACAGCACTGGCTCTTCAGCTTTGAAATGGAGATGAGTACTGCCCCCTAGAGCCAGGAACGACTAGCACATATGTGCAAGGGGAACCTTTATCTTTACCTTTACAAGCTAAGAGTGGGGTAACATTTCAGAGAATTCACCATTATTCTTGGAGCTGATCTAGCTACTAGGTGGCCTCTCGTGCAATTCAAGATGCTCGTTACCAACTTTAAATCTCCACATGGGTCAGGGACAGTTATCTCCAAGACCACTTACTGTGAAATAAATATCTCTATCTTATAAGATCAGCACCATCCTGCTGATGGTCCTATTCCCTGTGGAGTTACATCTGCAAGGATCCTATAGTCAGGCCTTCATAATAGAGGCTCCTTTCCTGTGAAATAGCTTGTCTTCATATAGCCAAAGTACTATCAATCTGATGAGCTTTTGCAGAGGTGAAATTTGGCTCTAGGAAACAGAACATTTTGGGGGGTGTTAAGGTTGGGTATGTCCTGACAGGGTTATTTATGTTGTAGTCCGCTCAGACCCAGATGGAGTGGAGTAGCAGAGAAATCCTGGTAATAATAATTTAAAAAGCATATATTAGATAGAAAAAAAAAATTAGGAAGACATGTCAGAAAACAAGTGACTTGAGACTTCTATTAAAGCTGGGAATTTAAAAAAGAAAATGGCTCTGAAAAGTTAGGGTTTAACTTCTTTGCATTCCATTCTTGTTTTGACACCAATTAAGAGTGCAACCTCTGTCTTTTTCCTCATTAGATGCTCAACTTTTCCAGATAAATACTAAGAAGATAAAATATGGTCTTCTCCATGCTAAGAATAGTAGTACTCACTAATTTGGTGAATGAATGACTTTGCTTGAATTCCAGGAGGCTCATAAGTCTAGTATCAATCATTAAAAACAATTGTCTACTTACAGTTGCTCTCTTTGTTGAAAAGGAATTATGAAGAGGGCAATTGAGTCCCAGGCATGAAAAGAATATGATGGTTCAAACTACTTTGTCCCAGTCATTCTTGCAACATTATTTTACCTAACAGAGACTTCTCTAGAGACAGTCTCTTGTGTGTAGTTCAAGACTGAAAAATAAATTGAAGCCTGGGGAAGAAGTCTCTGAATAATTAGGAGCTCTTCATGACATCAATCTTAGAAACAAAATGGAAATTCAATAGACGTGTGGGCAATATTCCAAATTCAAAATGTTTTGCGCTTGAAACACTCTTTCAAATTCAAAACAACTCCAGAACTATTTCAAACAGCTGTTTAAAATTGAAACAGTGTATTTCAAGCGGAAAATATTTGAGTTCAAAATGTTTTTTCCTTATCCTTAAAATATAACCCTAAAAGCTTTAGATGTAACGAAATGCATTACATGGTTTTGCAGTTGCAAATAAATACATCCATTTTTTTAGAATAACTAGAATAACATAGAAAGTAGAGTATTCAAATTATAAAACCAAAATGTTAAAAGAAGGTAAAAATTAAAATTAAATTTAATGAGTAAATCAATTTTTAACTTTAATCATACCCTGTTTCCTCCAAAATAAGACATCCCCTGATAATAAGCCCAATCGGGCTTTTGAGCATATGGTAATAAGGCCAGGCGCTAAATTTTTATTATTTAGAACTGTTTTTGGATAATTTTGAAATAAAATAATTATATAAGTAGTTGTTCTCCAACCTAATGTCATCCAGATGTCTGTAACTCCCAAACTGTTGACTATGTTGGCTTTCAATTATGTTAGTTTAGAGTTTTGGACAGTTTTAATCATTTATCGAAAGTTAGAGATTGAAAAAGGATGTTATGCAAATTAGTGATTTCAATATTATGTATATTAAGAAAGGATTACTTTCCTCTTTCCTTTCTCTTAGTAAGCATGCATTTGATTTTCAATCCAAATTTTATAAAACTTTATTTAGAGGCACAAATAATCTCAAATCACGTGTCAATGCAATATTTATAGAAATTGCATAGGTTAGGAGCTGTTCAAACAAGCATAATACTAAAACATATATTCATATTTACAGGGTTTCTTGTCCATGAAAGAATGCTTTCCGTCAACAGGTAAGTATCTTATTCTTTTAACAGAAAACATTTTAGTTAATGGGATTAATCTGAAAATCCTTTACAATACAGTGGATATAAGAGGCTCTTGAAAATTTTTATCATTCTCTCTTTCTTCTCTGTATATATACATAGTTATATGTATATGTAACATAGTTATACATATATATAATATAATTATATGTATATATAACAATAGTTATATGTATATATAATTATTAATCACTGATTTCATAAAAAGTATTACTTTTGTGACATTATTGCCAATAGTTAAATAGTTATTGTTGAATCAATCAAGTTTATCAGAAATCTGCACTTTGTATGGGAAATTAACATAATGTAAATATATATATTGCTCATTATGGTTTCCTACTACTATGACTGACAAAGCTTCAAGGCACAACACAATCTGTATCTAGATTCTTTTATCAACTGCAACATTAATAGAAGGCTTCTCAAATATAAATAGAAAAGTATGAACATTAATTTTAAATCTCATTCTTAATCATCATTTTTCTTAACTGCAGTTTTGAAAAGAAGTGTTAATCCTAACCCTAATCATTCCATAACAAGCTGTATAAACATCCTATATTTATCTTTATTTACTGGTTGAAAGTACATCACAACCCTAGCGAACTGATTATCTAATATTAGCAGAGAACTACAAATCATCCAGGGAAAAAAACAATCCAAAAGAAGCTGATTTTCTATTTCCTCAGTGATGCCATCTTAATCTTAATCTTAGAGTTAGTTCAAATCAGATCAGTACTAAGGCAAAGGATCTTAGATATAGAAGGTCAAAAAGAAATTGCTGATTTTTCTCACAATATAATTGGAAATAACCAAATGTTCATGGTTAAGCCAACCTCATATTTATATCATATCACAGCTCAATTTAGGAAAGCTGTATGTAACATTTAGTACATCAGTTATTTTTTCCGTGTGACATCTCGGTGTGTCCTCCATAACGTCATCTTTTTGCAGATTCTTCTGTCTTCATTATCCTATTACAACATATCTCCAAAAGTACAATAGTCTAATCATAACATAATCATTTTTTACATAACTATTGATTTACTTTTCTATATCTCTTTTCTAACCAATGATAAAATTGATCCCATATCTTAAAATATTCTGAATCCTCTCTTTCTTTAATCATCAAAGTTAATCTATTCATTTCTACACAATCTAGAATTTTTTTAATTACTTCTCCTTCTAAAGGTATTTTCTCTGCTTTTCAATTTTGTGCAAAAACAATCCTTGCTTTATGTGCATAGAATTTATGTGGTGCCTGGTTATGTGTAGCTTTTTATTTGTTGATTGGGGTGCTGATTGCCAGCTATTAACAACAATCATTGGCTGTTGTTTCCTTGTGCTGCCAAGTCCTGGGCTCCTAAATCCCCGATAAACTGGTGGTCAACTCCTGTTGACTGACAAGGGGCCCATTTCCAGGCTTCAATCATTTCCCTGGCTATCTTTATACCTGCTCAGCCAACAATCTTAGTAGCTGCGAAATTGAACATATGTCCTTGTTCATTGCAATGTGAAGGTATGTTTAATGCTCTCCCCACAGCTGTCCTGGAGGGGAAATATAGAAAAACCCTATATGAAGTCCCTGTGATATGAGAAATTACAACCCATGTTCTTCTTTATTGCCAATTCTACAGGGACACTCATCACAATTTGATCACATCCCTTTTATTTAAATTTCTGGGCACATCTTTTATCAGCACTGTCTGTTAAATATTAGGGATAAATTTATTTCTCTATTTTTTTAAAAAAAATATTATGCAAAAGCTTTACCCACAAATGGTTGCTAATAGTTCTTGTTTCCTTGTGTCC